CCCATGCGGAACATACTTTCGTAAGTATTTTTACTTTTCATATTAAATTTTTTATACTGAAATAGTGGTTTTATAACACGTAAAAATAATTATAATGTCTTATTACGTAGAACACCCTGAAGGAGGAGAGACAAATGCAGAGAACACAGACTACTTCAAGCTCGACTAGACCCCCACTTGACGAGCATGGGATTTTGGAGCAAGTTCTTGGCATGCATAGAGGACATAAGATAGGAGTGGGTCCGACGCTCTCCCAAAAGCATTACTCCGGGGCTTCTCCTTCATCTGGTGGTTCATTCTCGAACGCAACATCATTGGCTCAACCTGACCCACGTGTGGATCGTTATTTAAAGAAATCGTACTGGGAACAAATGAAGATTTATGACAATCAGATGAAGATGTTAGAGTTGGTGTCTAAATTGCAGCCCAACATCCAATTACCTACGATTGATCGTCCAGAACCAGTTGACCTAAACGCTCTTGATCTGCTTTCTTCAGATGATGACAGTCCTAATGATGATTCAGTTGTTGGCGATGCTACAAACTTAGATGATTAGTTTCGTTATATGTACTATTTTATTTTTCACATTATTTAGACTTTTATATTTTTTTGAACGTTATATATGCACTTCATGTAGTATTCATAATATATTTTATAAATTTATTTAGATTTACTGTTTTTAATATTAATTTATATTTCACTTTTAATGTATCTTAATAAATTATATTCAGTATGTAACATAATAATATTTAATTAAAATTATTAAAAATTAATTAATTGTCATTTTTTCAAAATTATAAAAAAAATTATTTTCGTTTTTTACGATGACTTTTTTAGACTTGTCGTCGCAAAAAAGTAACATTATTTGCGATGAAATTTTGAAAAATGCCGTCGCAAAAAAGATCATATCACGAGAATTTTGTAACGGAATATTAGCGACGCTTGTCGTCGCAAAAACTTTTTTTGCAACTAATTATTTGCAACGACATATCTGTGACGACGTGTCGTCGCAAAAACTGTTATTTGTGATGACACTCGGGTTTTTGCGACGACTTTTTGTCGTCGCAAAAACCCTTTTTCTTGTAGTAATTATACATAAAAAAATATTATGGTTCGATATGAAAAAAAGATATCATCATATATTCTTAAAACATCATAGTAAAGTTCATTTAAAGAAATTTAAGGGACTTTATCGTTATAGTTTTCAAGTATGCGCAATAGAAAAATCACTTTCAAACTATAAATTCTTTCATCTTTTGCCCCAAAGAAACAATAATCATTGGTTAAGTACTTTGTCTCTAAAATCAAACAAAAACTCAAAGAGACAACCGCCGGGGGAAAAAAGGCAAGAATTATGAAAATGTCGCCTTCAACAATTGACTTATATAGCTAATAATTATGGCGTACTCAAGTATAGGGAGATGAAGATACCAAGTCAATTATTTTGTTATATTTTATTTTTATATTTTTTGGGAACTAGTAAATAAAATTGTGCTAGGAACTTTCCTCAATAGAATTTACGAATTTAAATGTCCTACCAATAAAAAAATAAAAAAAATAAACGGTGCGATTGGAACTCATTCTAAAATGATTTTATTTTTGTATGAAAATGAAAATGAAAATATTTTCAATTTCAGATATAAATTATTTTTAAAAATGCGTTTGGTAATTTTATCAAAAGATTATTTTCAATATAAAAAAAACACACATTAATGTCTTTTTTTCTCTCTCCTCGAGAGAGGAGAAAACGAAAACAAAAAATGAAAAACGACTCTTTTTCATTTCTCTTCCATTTTACACTAAACTAAAAAATCGTTTTCGTTTTCATTTTCGTTTTTATACCATTTTAGAATAGTTTTCATTTTTTTCAAAAAATGTGAAAAATAAAAATAAGAACAATTCTAAACACAGCAAAAAGTTCATTTTGACAATTGAACGTATAACTCAACTTAAAGTAAGGCATACGATACCTTCAAAAACAACCCATTATCCGTTCCACAAGCTCCATATGTATGTAGCTCAAAAGGCTAAAATATTTGAGAAAGAGAAGAGACAAAAGTTCTAAATATTTTTCCTTAGAAACTTGTCCAACCATTGTCTCAAAACAAATTGACAAACGAAAAAGTCTTCCCAAATACACCGAAAAGCTAATTCCAAATTGTACAAATGCAACATGGAATATACATTCAAGAATTTCAAGTATTTCGACTATATTTTTACTTTATTTTTCTTTTTATTATTTTTGAAAAAGGCCTTTCTTTTCATACATATCAAGTCAAATTATTGTACTAAGAAAAAAACACTGTCATATTGCGCTTATATTATTTTGAATTTCTTGTTTTCTTTCTAGCTATTCCCGTTGAATGTATGTACAATAAATACATAAAATGGGCCAAGGATGTCTTAATACAACAAGGCAGGAGTTACTACGAATTAATATGTTTCTTTGTCCGTACCTTACATAAATTTGTTAGGAAATCTTACTGAACTTATGACTGCATAGATTTTCATTTTACCATCACTCTTCATTAATATCTTTTAAATTATGTAATTATTTAACTAAAAAAATATTAATTAAAATAAGAGGTAAATATGCATACTATATTTATCTCCTTCCCTTAGTCATTATTAAGAAATAATGATGGAAGTCCGACATAAAGAAGTGAACAATTTATTAATCTTGATAGAGAAAGAGAACCATTACAAGAAAAAGAGAGAAAAAAAGAAGTGCAATCCCCCCGCCAGTCTTGAATTTTTTTAGAAGTGACAATTTAGTCTATATATATATATATTTATTTATTTATTTATTTATTTATTTATTTATTTATCAATTTGTCCTTGATTTTTTCCTAACAATTTTGATCCCTTACTATTAAATTGAGGATCCACTCTAAAACTTAATAGACACAGTCACGAAATCATCACATAATAACTTAAAATTCATAAATTAATTGATGAAAAGATCAAAAAAACCAAATTATCATAATACTGATAAGTACTAATTATTAAGCACTTACTCTAAGTTCTGAAACTCTTTTACATAATTTAAAAAACAAAAGAAATAAGGAGTGCTTATAAATACAGACACCATTTCAGATTCTTTTATAGATGTTGGTCTCCTCTTTCCCATCTCTGGACTCGCCCCACACCGCCCACTCGTTAGCCGTCGTCCCTGCAAAATTAGAGTTGACAATCTGGGTAGCGACACGACTTAAAATCTGTACGAAATTAACGGGTTTAGGTTTATCATAAATAGGTCCGGGTCAAAATCAGGTCGAACCCATGAACACGATTAAATAACGTGTCATTTTTAAGTTGACCCGCTAACCTGTCATATTTGGGTAACATGAATACACAATCCGTTTATTACCAATTTTATAAACAGGTTCAAAAATAGATTTAGAAATAGGTTAACACGACTCATTTATTACATATTTTATAAACATGTTCAAAAATAGGTTTAAAAATAGGTTAACACGACTCATTTATCACGCATTTTATAAACGAGTTGACATGTAATCAACGGGTTGACACGACACGTTTATGACCTGTTTAATAAACAGGTTATTCGTGTTGTGTCGTGTCAGCTCACCAATATACAGGTCGTGTTTGAGTTTTGTGTTTCGACACGATTAATAAACGGGTCGTGTTCGTTTCAGACCTATTTGTGTCAACTGAGAAAGTCAACACGACCCGCCAACACGAATTACCACCCCTATGCAGAATACCATCTCTCACGTTCATCACCGACTCTATTTTGCAGAAGAAGTTGAGTGACGACGGAAGATAGTGGAGGAAAATGGAAAAGTCAGTTTGTTTGTTTGTTTTTTAATTTTATTTTGGTTTTTGCTTATTCAGCTTTTGATTCAATGTGTTACCAAACATAGGACATGATTTAGTATAGAAGTATTTACACGAAATTATTATTTTTACCCTCTCTGTTTAGGATATGTTTTTAATTCAATAATATTATTAATATGTCCATTTGATGATTACTGATATATTATAATTTCAAATACACCTTTTCTTATTTGAGTAGTTGTGAATTTATATAGCTAATTTTAGAAGTTAGTTAATTAAGGATAAAAATGTTATTACATAAATATAACAACTTGTAGACATTTCTTTTTTTCATCTATCTTAAAGTATATGTATAGACATATATGTAATTAACTCTTTGATATACTCTTTTCCAATCATATCTAATCTAAATTTGGGGACGTTTGGTTGAAGGATTCAAATCATGATTTGAATCATGGTTCATAGTTCGCTACAGTATTTTCTTATAAAAAATACGCATAAATCAAAAATAATTCTAATCACATGATTCTAATCCATGAACTAAACGTCTTCCAATGATTTTATATTCCTATCCAATCCGACGTCCCAAACACAGCCTAAGGACACCATTCCCAACATTGAATTCCAACCATGTTAAGCGGCCCATAAATCTGGGCCAGGCCATGTTAAGCGAAGAAGGACCGAGTTTACTGAGCCCAGTAAACGGATAGAAACGGCATATTCTCGTAATACCATGTTGTTGGGGTTTTTCAAGTTGTTTGCTTCTTCTTCTCTGTAACTCCCAAAACCCTCTCTCTCTCTCTCTCTCTCTCTCTCGAGATGGAGTCGCTTGCTAAGCTGCATCATCCTCACCAGCCCCTCCATCTATCACTCAATCCTCACCGTCCATCTTTCCCAAAGCCCATCATTTCCCCTCTCAGGGCCCCACCTCCGCCTCCCCTCAGGTCCCTCTCCATCAGAGCCTCCTCCTCCTCTCAAAACCCCAAACCCTCACAACTCCTCAAAACCGCTACCGTCGCCGCCTCCACCGCCGTCGCAGCCACCGCCTTCTTCCTCTCGCGCTTCCACCTCAGAGCCGCCGTCGCCGCCCCAGTCGCTCCGCCGCCGCCCACGGAGGAGCGCGTCGAGGAATCGTCCGAGAACGACGCGCAGGAGAGAGCTTCCGAGGAGCAAGTGAGCCGCGATCCCGACGACGCCGAAGCGCTCCGGTCGCTCATGGAGGCGAAGATCAAGGCGAACAAGCTTGACGAGGCGGTCCAGGTCCTGGACCGGCTGATCGAGCTCGAACCGGAGGACCTCGAATGGCCGCTGCTCAAAGCCAACATCCATAGCCACAACGGAGAACTAGAGCTCGCAGAAAGTGAATTCGAGGCGATTCTTGAGAAAGATCCTCTCCGCGTCGAAGCTTACCACGGCCTGGTAATGGCGGCCTCGCAATCGGGAGAGAAACTGAATGGCATGGTGAGGAGAGTCGAGGAGGCGATGAAGAGGTGCGAGAAGCAGAGGAACAAGTCGGAAGCTAGGGATTTCAAGCTCCTGATCGCGCAAATTAAGGTTATGGAGTCGAATTACTCGGACGCTCTGAAGCTTTATCAGGAGCTGGCCAAGGACGAGCCTAGGGATTTCAGGCCTTACCTTTGCCAAGGAATCATATACACTCTGCTGAGGAAGAAGAACGAAGCCGAGAAACAGTTCGACAAGTTCCGGCGACTCGTTCCGAAGAACCATCCGTACAGAGAGTATTTCGACGACAACATGTTCGCCACAAAGCTTTTCGCACAGCATGTCGATAGGGCGAAGGATGGCGTTTGAATTTTCTGGTTCTCCATTGAGGTTGAGCTTCTTTTTTGTTTCCTTAATTCTTACTTAACTTTCTGTGTTTTTCGTTTATGTGGTGCTTTTGTTTACTTACATTGCCGTAGGAGATTATATTATAAGGAAGATAAGAGTTCTTTCTAGTGTTTAGTTTGTAAGGTGGATATTATCAGTATCCTTTAGTTGAATCTGGCATTTTGGTATCAAGTATCTATCAACAATTCGAATAGAAGATGGAAAGGGGAATGTGTATGTTGATGCAGAAAAAGTTTAGTTTTTTGTTTTTGTTCTTTTCACACTCTTGTTTTGAGGTATATGAATTTAATTAGATTAGTGTGTTACAATCGGCAGTTTTGTTTTTTATCTTCTAGCAATTTGTTGTTCATTCAAAATTTGGAATATGGGCAATCCTTGAACTTTACTTTCTGCTAGTTATTTCTGTAGTTTGGTATGGCTTGTCCTTTTATCTAATTGAGAGAGAACCAAAACCAATTGTAAATTTATTGTCAAGCATGATTTAGTTTCTGCTAAACATGATTTACTTTCTGCTAGTCATTTATGCGGTACTTGGTTAGGCATTTCCTTTTTATCTAATTGAGAACCAAAACCAAATGTAAATTCATTGCTAAACATGATTTCATATTTTTAGCTCCATGTCTGTAGTCACTAATTAAGTGGTAATGTCGGTCCACTGTACAGACCAAATTAACATGTTTTGGTAGTGCATCTCCAGTGGAGGTACTATGTCTCATGTTAATGCTAAAATTTACCATATGAGCAAAATTTTGCTCTTTTTCTCTCCAATGGTATGCCAAGTGTAACGTAAAATGTAAAATTCAGCACATACTAATATGTTGGTGCCAGGTTTCTCACCGAGAAAAGAATGGCATATGCTGAATTATAACACATGGCTAAAAATTTGATTTTGCCACTACAAACTACTTTTTGTTTATAAATTAACATTCGCTATAAGGCCTATGATGTTTTGAGAAATAAATTAAATTGAAAAGCTGAAATAGCATTTTACTTTGCATGTATAGCATTAAAGCGCAATTAAAAACTGGCACTATAACAGACTAAATATGGCATTAGTTTCATGTCCGTTGCTCGTTTTGTAATATGGGATTGTCTTTATTATTCTTTTCCCGAATTAATCTCTTTAGCTGTTTTTATGTGCTGGTTGCTTGGCTCTAGCTTTATTATTGCCATTCACCAAGCAGAATTCCTATGACGATGAAGTTCATCGTGGCCTAGCTTATAACTTGAACTTGAATTTCATTGGAATATTCGATTATTTAATTAGATTGTACTTCTAGAACATTATTGTCATTAAAGGTCATACTATGTTGATCTGTAGTTGGTTATAACTTATGTTGCACGATCTCGGAAGATGAGAATTAGTCTTTATAGGATCACATCTACGAAGATGAACGAGGCTGCAGTGTAAAAGTAGTGGGATATCAAGTGCTCATTGGTATGGATAATTCTATGACACTGGCTGATATACGCAGATGACATGCTGAAGCCAGCAATCAGCTGGATTACCAATGAGCAAGTTCAAAGCTGTGGCAAAAACATCAAAAATTGAAGACTTTCAGCTCTCGCGAAGGTTTCTCTAATCGGAACTTGTCAATCTTTGAGGTGCGGATGTTTTATCTTTAATGGAAAAATGCTTAGAGAAGAATTTATGTTATATAAGAATTGGGAGATCAGAGCCTTGTGAGGTGGCCAGTTGAACATTTCTGAATTAGAAGTCTGATGCTACCTATTTTAAAGATTTCATTTGATCATTGGTAATTTCCTCTGCAACTTGGAGTTGGGATGGACAATCTGACGCCATTGATACCGATTGGTAGTCCTGTCAAGCATGGCTGAAACATAGGAAGAGCAAGAGGGAAATAAAAACAGGAAATATATAGTCGATTTACTCTGTTTTATGCATATAAGAAAAGAGGTATCTGTTTCTGAAGGAACCAAATGATCTCTGTTTTTAATGTCTTTTTTCTGGAATGGCTTTAGAAAATAGGTTCCTGCAGATACTATTTTACTGATGAAATTTTTAGCCATGCATTCCCGATCAAACGACACAAATGAAGTGAAATGGGTTCAGAAAATATGTTCCTGCAATCTACTCTAGAAAATCAACTAGGGCCCATTTAGAAAGTATACTCAAACTATGATTCTTGAGTCTGATTTTTGAAATTTAAATTTTTTATGAGAGAAAAATAATATAGCAGAATTAATCATTTGAGTTTGAGTATATGAAACAAACGGCCTTACATAATCCAGTTGAAGATCGTCTAGTAATATATACCCCGCTTGCTACGCGGGTTCAAAAGGGTTTTGAACTTGGGTTGTGGGTTAAGTTCTCATGTCTTTGAACCTATCTGTTGCAGTATTTTTGGATTAAAACCATGACTCTTATGTCTCTTTTATTCATAATTCTCACACTGACCAAACACCAGTTAAAACTTTATTCTCTGATGTGATGTTTTACTCCTTATTCAGACTTTAAACTTCTAAATACCATTTTAAACTTGGTTAGAAACTTATGGTTTAAATTTAAAAGCGTCAAAACCACACAATTCAAACGGTAAAAACGTCACTTATGCGTATCCAGATTAAAAAGGGTAAAAGTTTAAAAAAAGGTGTGGCATCCAAATAGCAAGAAACCAACCTTGTATCTCATGATAACATCAACATTTGAGTTCAAACAGAAGTGTCCAATTTCCATAAATTGTCTGCAGAATCCTGAACAATACATTATGGTTTTAAAATATCAAATAATGTTATAGCTGGCTACGTCTCGTCCAAAGATGGCATAGCCCTGATTTTGAGGTCCTTTTCTAACTTTGATCTTCTGATTCTCCTTTTCTTTTCTTCCTCTTTAGACAGATTCCACCGCGCCCGCTGGAGATTCCCAAACCATCACGGGGAAGCCTCACCGCACTAGAGTTTGCATAAAAAATATGACGAGTGGACCTCAAAACTTGTCAAGACTCATGGATTCACAAAATTATTTGAGAATTGGAAAATGATTTTATGATAGTTCTAGACTCAGATATTCATCAAATTTCGTTGAAGTTTTGTACTTTTAAATTTTAATGTGATCAAATTATCAGAACTCCTACAACACCGATAACGTTATTCCATTTTTATATACTTTACGATCGAATTTTCCGCAACAAATTGTTCAAAAGAAACACAATCTTGTTTTAGATTTCTAATCAAGTTATGAGTTCATCTCCCTTACATAAAACTTCTTCTTTTTTTTTTTTTTTTTTTCTAGTACGTGTTTAGATGGTTTGACTTCCATCTCCACATTAGGAAATTGAACACAATTTCTTTTTGTCTATTAAAAAAAAAAAAAAAAAAAAGCTATTCCACTTGCTAATCATTTGTGCAGGTTTTGCTTTCAATAATTTTTTTTTTTTAAATCTTTGTTGTCCTTCCTGTCCACCGCCCATTAGCCCCATGAAACCAAAAGCAGGTCAGTCACTCTTTAAAGATGGATTTGAGGTTCCAGAACATCACTGCCCACAAGGGAATGTTTTGTGAACTTCTCTATCAATGCAAGGAAAGTCTGATTATTGAAGGTTTGACTTTTTCCTTGTTGGTCCAACTTTTGACATTGCCAAATACAAATGCATGAACGTGTACTTTTTTGACATCAATGGAAAGTATGATATTTATGTCTCTTTTATTTTATCGATTTATGTTTTCACAGTTAAAAATTTTCAGAAGATGTCACATTAAATTTTTTATGTTACAGTTAAAAGCTCTCAAAAAATATAAAACCTAAACTTGAATCTACGAAGTAAACAAGATCTTAGCATTCTGGTTTTGGAATTTGGTAGAAGATTAAGGTTGTTTAATCATACGTGTCTAAGCATGAATAATCCTTTTGGGATTGACAATAATATACGCCTCGTTCATTTCATCAATTCGAGTTTTCAGTTTTAAGATTTCATAGTTAAAAGCTCTCAGAAAATGTCACATTTAACTTTTTTTACTACAATTAAAAACTCTTAGAAAATATCACATATCAGTTCGAATTAAAAACTTAAATATGCAAAGTGAACGATGCCATAATATACTTTCATACGTAACCCCATCACTATGAGAATTTTTTTTTTAATATAAGATAGATAGAGAAATAAGTATTCTATCAGTATTGCATTTTTTCCAATCATATGATCTTTATTAAATTTCGTTAAATTTACATTTTTGTTTTGTTAGACCATTCGCAACTCCAAAACATTTAAAGGTCGTAGACCGACCATAGAACCCTATTTAATAAGTTTTTGGCTGTCCGCTTTCAAGTTGGGCAATAAAGATTGAAGAAGAGTGGTGGCACATTCTTAAAACCAGCATTTAGCCATTTACAGTCTGTAATTCTAGAACCATTGTCCATAACCAACATTTTGCGGTCTTAAACTAAGGCAATACTTCGTTTATTTGTCAAAAAAGCAATTCAGATAATCACGGGCATTCAAAAGCCATGATTACCGATTTTGGACCTAAATTTACACTTTAAAGTCAAGGTAGTTTGCTTTATTACTATTATTATTATTATTTTCTTTTTTTGACCTTTTGCTTTTCTATTATTATTGCAGACCGCTCTAGCAAACTCCAATCCTTTCTAGGAAGAAAGAAACACTTTTTTACCTTTTCTCTTTTTCTTGTCTTTTGCTTTCTCTTCTTCAAACAAACTAGTCCATGAAACATATATAAAATATATCAATGTTATTGGTAACAAACTAGTCCATGAAACATATATAAAATATATCAATGTTATTGGTTTTTACTACGTGTCAAAGAGTTCACCAAATATTATTTTACTCCACAAGTAAATTCTACAACAAACAAGAAATTAAAGAAATCCATACTTCATGTTCTTGTCTACCAAGAGAAACAAACAGAAAAACGACAATAAGATAAGCCAAGTTTTTCAACTCCTGAAATCCAATATGGAGATAATTGTAGGAAAAAAATTCGATTTTTTTTTCCTTTTTTGTATTTAATTTCTTAGGATGGTGACAAACCAATATTGGACTTTGGACACCCCTATCTTGTATTATAACTCCCTCTGTTTCAGGGATGGCAGAGGCATGGAGCCAAGTGCTTTGGTGCTCATAAAATAAAATAAAATAAAAAGGCGCCGATTGATTCTTTTCAATCTTATGACCCACCTTTGCAATTGAAGATTATTCTCATAAATACCCCTTAAATTATGTACCATATTTTAAAATGCCCATAATTTTTTAAAACTGTTTAAAACACTCTCTAAAATATAAAAAAAAAAAAAAAAACGTATCAAATTACCTCTTATATACACTTCTGTCTATAATCTTAACAGAGTTATTGATGTGACATTTATCAAAAATTAATTAGACAATTAAATCCCAATTAAATATATTAAAAATTTTTAAAAAATAAAAACAAAACAAAATTTTCTTTCTTCTTCCTTCAGCTTGCCACTTCCCAAAATCCTCTTTTCTCCCCGATCGAAAACTCAAAATCCTAACTCCCCTCCATCAAAATTCACCACCCACTCGTCAGTGAGAGATCCGACCGCCACCATTCCCCATCGCATTTCCCATTGTAAGATTGGTGTCTTCGTCGACCTCTCCAACAAGAGCGCCTGCGCCCTTTGCTGGCCGGCCGCCCACCACTACATTCCCTAACGGCGTCGTCATCCTCCCCCATGTCATCGTACCTCCATCCTCTGCGGCCTTCCACGCCTTCACTTGCATCCAAGGCGGCCTATCTCACAAAGTCGTTGAGCGAGGCACAAAGACCATATAAGATCTATGTTTTCAAGCAATGGGAAGCTCGGGATTGATCAAAATTTGTTAGTTAATACGAGAATGGATCGCATAAGGAATGAAGTTATTCATAGTAAAGTAGGCGTAGCACCAATAGAAAATAAGGTGCGCGAAGGTCGCTTGAGGTGGTATGGACATGTCAACGTAGACCGCTAAAAGCACCAGTTTGTGCTTGGAAGGACATTCTTATACCTAATACTAGGAAAGAGAGAGAGGTAAACCAAAAATTACGTGGACCGAAATAGTTAGGAATGATATTTTAGATCTAGGCCTTCAGGAAAGTCTAATTTCGAATAAAACTGCGTGAAAAAGTGAAATATATATAATCGACCCCAATTAAATTGGAAAAATTTTCAAGTAAAAATTTGTTGTTGAACATCATTGATAGATCAAAATTTTGGTGATGGAAATTATCTCTTGTAATCTTTACTGTGTTGTCTCGTGAATTTGAAAGAGAAATTGGTGGCTAAAAGCTCAAAAGGTTCTTGATGCCAACTTCTTCAGAAAGTTGGTGTTCTTGATTCTAAAGTTGATACTTAATATTTGTTTAAAATAGATTTAAATGATTTATATTTGGATTTTTTTATTAATAATTAAAGTTTTTATGTTAAAAGACTATTTATAAACATTTATGGGATGTTTGTTTTAAGGGTTCGTTTCTAGTTCTAAATCATAGTTCTTGATTCTCTACGGTGTTTTTCTCTCATAAAAAATTTGAATTTCAAAAATCAGAATCATGAATCATGATTTTAAACTCATGAACCAAGCGTCCCATTAATGACATGTCACCTCAACAATCTGTTAAGATTATACACAAAAATGGATGGAGGGGGCATTTTGAACCATTTTCTATTATATTAATGAGTGTTTTGAACCATTTTAAAGAATTAGAGGGCACTTTAAAATAAGATACATAATTTGAAGGGTATTTATGAAAATAATCCTTGTAATTAATGGAAACCATTGAAACTAGATATGCAGTAAAATATGTCCGTTGCATGCAATCTGCATATTTATATGGTCCCGGAGAAACAAAAACAAGGCCCTAGCTTTGAAAGAGACAAATGGTTGCAATATTTTTTTTGAATAATTTTTAAAAATACCTCTTGAAATGGAATTTCTTTTTATTTTTACCCCTTAATATTAGCTCAAATATTTC